CTGCGGAATTTGGTATGTGGGCAGGTGGACATGGCTATAGAAGAGATCCGAGTAGAAGTCATGGATAATCTTCTCCATTGCCCTTCTCGAAGATGTGATGGATCCATCAGGACGTCAGAGTCAAGTCATCTTGGTCTTGTAGTTGGCAAAGGACAGGCGAGCATTACGAATGCTTTTCCCTGCTTCTGCCGCATCTGCCGGCACTGCTTTTCTTCTCTCTTTGAAGTCTTCCTTTATCGCTTGTCTGTACTGTTTTACAAGCTCGGACATTCACTTGCAGTTGCCTGAGGCTTGTGCCAAGCCTCATTGGCAAATGAGCTCGAGAGTTTTTGAAGACAGGCGTCTTTTTGTGGCTATCTCTCTCGGCGTTCTTTGCACAATCATGGAGGTGCTGAACCAGTAGATCATAAAATAAAACAATGCATATTGTTAATTAGTTGATAAGCTAATAAGTTAATCTAGGACATGCTCTTAAAAGATGTGCAATTGATCATTAAATGAATCAAATAGATAAATGTTCACTCAATATCTCCCTTTTGTCTTCTATTTTAATATACAGCTTTTATTTTTGAATTTTTGGGTCACACCCAGCGATGTTCAGGGGTTACTGCTTGCTTTTCACTCAGGAATTACTCCTGATAGTGCTCGGGGGACCATATGGGATGCCAGGGATTGAACCCAGTTCGGCCGTGTGCAAGGCAAACTACCTACCTGCTGTATTATTGCTCTGGCCCCTATACACTTTTTCTTATCTGACAGGTTTCTTGAAAATAGGAACAATATTTCATTTCCCTATCTAACCTAGGAAGTCAAAAAATGTGAGAGAATGAATGAATTGGAACTCTTGAGCCAATAATTTCCTTTCCTAGCTTAAATCTGAATGGTAGAGTTTTCAAATGATATTTTTTAAACACTTCTTAGTGAAATTCTGGAGTTTCTATGATTTATCAGAAAAGTTAAATAAAAAGTAGATGTAGGGGCTGGAACAATAGCACAGCGGGTAGGGTGTTTGCCTTGCACAAAGCCAACATGGCCGACCCAGGTTCGATTCCCAGCATCCCATATGGTCCCCGAACACCGCCAGGAGTAATTCCTGAGCGCATGAGCCAGGAGTAACCCCTGAGCATCACCGAGTGTGACCCAAAAAAGCCAAAAAAAAAAGTAGATGTAATAGCTGAGTAGAACTTCTTCAAAAACTATTATAGGAAAAAAGATTTAAGTGCAAAGAGCACATCCTTCCCAAATAAGTATCCCCTGAAAAAAATGTCTCCAGTAAAATGATAAAATGAGGCTTAGGAGAGCAGATAGAGTAACTTTTTAGAAATAAGTGCATAATTATTCTAGGTAATGATATGAGTCTTCTAAAGCTAATGATGACAAATTTAATAATTTTGTAAAGGTACTTTATAAAGCATTTTCATTTAACCTAGCTAGTTTTAGCTCCATTCACAATTATAGACAGTCCCCCAAATAAAGAGCTAACTGCCAATAGCACACTCCTCAAGTTGTAAGAAGGAATGGTTAATTTAACTGTTTTGTACTTCAAATAAGTTTATCTGTCACTTACAAGCTTTGAAGTAGCTTACTCACTTTTGCTAAAGGTTGAGCATGTTTCAATTTAAACTTGCATTTTATGGCTTTCTGAGAAAGCAATTTTGTTCCTCGGCGGTGGAGGGCTTTGGGGGGGATGGAGAGGGGGTGAGGGAACATCAATGAGCACAACATACATATTTGAAACACTTTTATATGGATAAAACATAAATTCAGTAAATGTGGAGGGGTTGATTAACAGTCCTCACCACGGCTCAGAGGCAATTTTTGACTTCTAAACTTGAATAGCCTGCTACTACCCATTGAGTTTTAATACTGAGACCAATTAAACAATATTACATAGAAATTTCTTCCTATCTATAACTTAAAAATAAATTATAGGAATTTAAATATCAGTTCAAAATTAGCATTGTTTTAGGTCTGAATGTGTCATTAAAGGGAACAAACTCATCTGTCACTTATCAGCCTTCATTAAACACCAATTGCATGTGAGACATTATGTTAGGAATTCAAGGAACATAAGCTAATCCTTACCTCCTGAAGTAACTACAGTCAGAAGGATAGGAAGGCAACAGAGAAATGGCATTTGGAGGATAAGGGTCCCAACAACAGTGAACCCTATTTGCTATGTAGCACAGAGAAGACCAAGTGAAATGGTGCACCGGGTCCAAATCAAATCTTGGTGGACAAATGTAAATTATTTGCACACCTCCATTCCTACAACAAAAAAGGAAAAGATATCCTCAAATTTCTAGAAAAAAACCCAAGGTAAGAAGTAGCTCTCTGAGGCATTCATAGAAATGGTACATACACAAAGGGAGGATGTGATTGTTCCTTGAAGCACTTAGTACAATAGTTGAGAAATGGAATCAACCTAGGTGTTGAACAGTGAGTGGATAATGATGTTGTGGTACATAGACTCAATGGAATACTCTGCAGCTGCAGAAAATGATAAAAATTATGTAGTTCACCACAATTTAAATAGAACTAAAGGATATCATGTTAAATGAAGTTCAGAGGTCAAATGGACACGTAATGAGATTTAGAGATGACTGCTGGACTAGAGCCATTACCAACTGGATTCCACGGGATGTCAAAAGACCACGTGGCCGTGGTCAGTTGGTCAGACTTCTTCATCAAGATCATGAACGATTAGTTTGAGGCTCTTCGTGTTCCTAGAACGAACAGACGCCATTGGGCTACACTAGCACACAACAGGGACAAATGGAGACGTCACTGGCGCTCGCTCGAGCAAATTGACGATTAACAGGAAGTCAAGTGATCAAGAGGTCAAATACAGGGTGATCTGACTTATCCAGGATATATAGAATCATATGACAAGAAAATGCATGGTACCAAAGGTGGGAAAATCCTTGGATCTAGATTATAGAAATGAAAAGACTAGGGAAGGATAGAAATGAAAGGGGGCAGGTGCTAGAAGATAGAGGAGGTAACATGGAAAAGAGTCAGAGCCCCTAGAATACATTAAAGATGTCAAAGGGTGACATATGTGTATATATTTCTAAATCACGAAATCATAAGTACTGTAAACAAGTGACCCTAATCAGAAAAATTATACTTTAAAATGTGCCTGTTACGAAGCCAGGCTGTGGTGTGGGAGAGAACCTGGGGACAATGGTGGAGGCAAGTTGGCACTGGTGAGGGATTGATGCTACAATACTGTACACCTCAAACTATATTATGAACACATTTGTGAATAACGATGCCTAAATGGAAAAATAAATAAGAAAGAAAACACAAAGGGAGATGTGGGATTCTGTAGAACACGAGACAGAGAAAGCAGTCTTCATATACTATAAGAGATTAGATTTTGTTTCCTTTTTGGGTCACACCTGGTGATGCTCAGGGATTACTCCTGGCTTTGCACACAGGAATTACTCCTGGTGTTGCTCAGGGGACCATATGGGATGATGGGAATCAAACTCGGGTCAGCCGCATGTAAGGCAAATGCCTTACCCGCTGTACTATTGCTCCAGCCCGGGATATTTTTCTTTAAACCATGTAGAGTCCTGGGGGTTGAAGTAAATGGGGTTAATTAAATAATCTGATTTAGAGAGATTATCTGTCTGCTTGTCTGCCATTGTATTTTAAATCAAGGGGAACACAACTAAAAGTAAGGATACCAGTACTCAAGGAAAGAATGGGTTGAGAAAACTTTAGACATGTAGAACATAGTTACTATTTGGATGAGGGGTAGTGAGTTCTGAAATACTGACCAGCGTAGAGGAGTATTCGCATAGAATTTTCAAGCAGAAAGTGGGAGGGGCTTGCATTGCAAGCTTAAAGGTCATGGAGAGTGATAATGAATTCAAGTTGAAATGCTTTAAATTTGTGATGAGTAAAACACATAAGAAAAGACAGTTGCTTATAGTGGCTAACATCAAGAAGGCCATATGAGGTAGAGACAGGTTTGGTAGTGTCAACAACATACATGGTGATCTCTAAAACCACAGAATTATATCTGATTCTTTTCAAGAAACAAGTATAAAAAGACAGGAGAAAGTTGCATCCTGGTAAATAATGCTTCTTAAATGACTATTATAAGAATCCAAATGACATCAAAAACTTGAAACTTAAAAAAAGTAAACTACCAGTAATGCCTTTCCAACTTCTTTTGTTTTGGAGGGCCATACTCAGTGATGCTCGGGAGTTACTCCTGGTTCTACACTTAGGAATTAATTACTCCTGGCAGTGCTCAGGGAACCAGATGGGATGCTGGGAACTGAACCCGTGTTGGGTGCATGCAAAGCAAATAAATGCCCTACCTGCCATATCTCCAACCCAAACAATGGCTTTATAAATTCTATAACAAATAAGTTTCAAGGACACAGTTGTTTTAAAAAGTATTAAAAACTTTGAAACATTTTGTTCATCTCTATTTTTTTCCTATTCATCCAAAATATTAATTGGCTCTTAGAATATTCTAGCCCTAGTTATGTTCAATTTCCAGTTAATACCATACTTGTCCTGAGACAGATTTCCATTTAACAGAAAATAATTTAAGTGAATGGACTGTGTGATTTCATAACACAGTGAGCACCATGAAAGGACGCTATGTACAAACTATAGAGAGAATCCTGGGCTTCATCCTTAGGTCCTTGATGACTTTCACATAGCTAGTCTCCAACAGAAGTAAGCAAATATTAAATTGTCACCAAATTGCCACGGTTTAAGAAAATAAGAGGTAAGTATGTGGAGCAAAGCAATGCTGGTGAGTCTCTAAAAAAATGTTTATTGTGACAAACAACAGGACAACAAGAAATTGAAAAACATTGGAAGTTTTTTATTAAAATATGAAGGGACAGATGTTATTTAAAGGCTGAAATTGGAGAGAACTACTAATATAAATAACTATAAATTGTTTTCAATTGAGATAATTATTGGTGAAAGTGGTTAAAATGAATGAGAATATGAATATAACTTTTCAGGTGGACTCAAATGAGCTAAAGAGACACTACAGGAGTTCTACAAAGTTTCAGGTAAGTGGCTTACTGTTTTAAAATTACTCAAGTGGGCCAGAGAGATAGTACAGCAGCAAAGGACTCTTACCTTTCATGGAGCCATCCTGGGTTCAATCTCTGGTAATCCATAGGACCCTCTGAGCCCACCAGGAGTGACTGCTAAGCACAAAGCCAGAAAGCCACAACTGGGTAAGGGTCCCAAATCTCTCACACACACACACACACACACACACACACACACACACACACACATTCAATTAATCCATATAAGTCTGTACATATATATATATATTTGAATACATATTCAACTAATTCTTTTAAGTCCCCTCTAAAAATTTCAAAAAGATATCCTTTTTTTTTCAGAATAATAAGCTTTGTAACAAAATGGATATAAGTGAAGACTTACTAGACAGTTTTGCTCCTCAACTACGTGGTATAGGTGCTTACAAGCGCACATGTATATTTCAACATATGGGTCTTCGTTAGGTAGAACAAAATGTGGGTGTTGCAGAAGAGAAAAAGAAGTTCAACATCACTAAAGGAGTGCAAGGCTTACTTTGTCTTGTCATTACAAAATTATAAACTCAAAGTTATAAAGTGTGATAGTGTGAAAGTCTACAGAATTCTTTCTACTACTGTTTGTTTACTGTTGACATAAGCAAAATTTATTAAGCGGTTATTAACATGACTTCTTCCTTTCTTTCACTATAATAATATCAATATATAGTTATGTTTTCACCTCTAACAATGCACAATTAGTTTAGCAAAACTAATGTAAAAAAAAAAAAAGCTCCTTTGCTCATTTAGCTCTGAAAAGCAGGCAAAGACATAAAATTTCCAACTTAGCTCAGTCTCTATAACGCAACCCCAGTCTCCCACTTCAAGCGCAATACTTTAATGGTGATAAAACATGGGGAAAAGGACTAAGGTATAGGCAAGCTTAGAACACAGAGTATTGAAAATAAGTATTTATTTAAAGGGAAATGCAAGGGAATGAAGAAAAGTAGCTCCCAGCTGAGGAATCGTATATTTAAGAGAACAAGTAACAGAGACATTCTGGTGAGGGGTGGGGGAAGTCAAAGGAAGAACACCAGTCTCAACTTTGTCAAGCCTCATTTTATGGTTGCCAATTTCCTGCCTCTCCTATTCATTCCCTTCCTCCTCCCCAAGTAAGTGAGAATATCAAAGAACCAAGTTCCAATTTCGGTTATCTTCATGGGTTGCCAATGTATCTTTAAACTGTCATGGCACCAGTGGGAATGATTTTTATGTTAAAGTATTAAAACGATGGTATAATGAGGTTGAGTTTGCTCAGGCATTCCACAAGGCTGATGTGCCCTTGTTCCCCTGGATTTTAAGAAAATATATAAACTGGAGTAAGTTTCTTCTCATCATAAATTTGGCTTTAAACTTGTTTTATCAGATATTTGGTTAAACACTAGAGACCCACTTTACGTTTGGCTGTATTTTCCTATACTCATGAAACCCCTCCACTCGTTATCTAACTCCCAGCATTAGAGATGCATGCTGAAAGTAGACTCTAGACCAAACATAATTGCCACTCAATGCCTCTTTTGCAAACCACAGCACCCAAAAGGAGAGAGAGAACAAAAGGGAATTCCCTGCCACAGGGGTGGGGTGGGATGGGAGGGGCGGGGGGGGGGATGGCAGGAATTCCAGGAGCACTGGAGGTGGGGAATGGGCACTGGTGGAGGGATGGGTACTCAATCATTGTATAACTGAAGCTCAAGCACAAAACTCTGTAAGTCTGCAACTGTACCTCATGGTGTTTCACTAATAAAAAATAATAATAAAAAAATTAACTCCCCAACATTGGCAAATTCATTAAAACAAATTCAGAATTGTTTAAAAGCACTCATCTAGGTTTAGGTGCCAAATTGCCTTTATTAGTATTGTGTGTTGATGAAAATCAGTTTTCAATCCCCCCAAGTTTTTTTGTTAAAAAAAAAAAAACTACGTACTTATGCACACTCATAAAAGATCTACACAGCTTTGATGAAATCGGCAAAAGAAATAGATGTTATTTTTAAATGGGGCAAAGTTTATTCTAAATTCTTAATCATTCTCTTGAATTTGAATGAGGGCAAATTAACTCATGCACTTAAATTCCATTCTTTAAACATAAATATTTACATAAATTCATAGGGGCCACCACTTTTAAGTTCTCTTAGCATGTTCTGCCTGTCTTTTGGTAATGCATCATAGTTACTTTTGTGTTGAGCTATTTCTTTATTAGATTGTTAATTTCTTGTGGGCAGAACCAATATTTTACTCCTATATTGACTCCAGCAGACTTTGTAGAGAGTTTAGTGTTCCACAACACTTAATTCAATTTTCTACAATTCACTGAGAAATAAATCATCTTTATGTACACAAATTCATCTCTACGGGTTAATAAGAAACATGACTGATGACCTCATAGAAAAGCCAAGTGAGGAATTGAACAATTACACAGAGAGCAAATAAAATTATTATGATCTGAGCCAGAAATCATGAAAAAATAACTCCATGTTCCTGTTTGCTTATAATAAGACATTATAGAACTTTTATTTACTCTTAAGTTGCTCAAATTCTTCCAAGTCTCTGCGTTTGAGGGTAAAATCAAGGGGGGTTGATGAAATGCTGAAAGTTCTAAACCAATACTTTTAGCAAGTTTTTTATAATAAAAGGCCTGGTTAATTTAAATTAAATGTTCCACTTTTTCAATAGCATAGGCTTAGAGATTCTGATATATAATGATCTCAACTCCTCATTCCATAAATGTGAGCTTGTAAGAAAACCTCTTAAGTTTAGCATAGAGTTCAAAACAACCTAATTATCATAAGATAACTTAATACTAAATGTTTTTAATATTACCTATTTTCATGACCATCTGGCTGGAGCGATAGCACAGCGGGTAGGGCGTTCGCCTTACAAGCGGCCAACATGGCCGACCCGAGTTCGATTCCTCCGCCCCTCTCGGAGAGCCCGGCAAGCTACCGAGAGTATTCGATATGCCAGACACAGTAACAACAAAGTCTCCAATGGAGACGTTACTGGGCCCGCTCGAACAAATCGACGATCAACGGGAGGGCCATGACCATCTAAATGTTACTGTAAATGAATAATTTTACATTTTCAAAGTCTTATTATTATTGCAAGTAGCAAAGTTTACAAATGTGATGCCATTTATACAGGTAGTAGAAAAACAAAAAAAAATTTGAATGTGGTAAATTTAAAATATCTGTATTTTCAGCTGTGTCACAGTTAAAAACCCGTCTTACTGGGGTTGCAATAAATTGGAAATAGTACTGAATTCATTTTTCTCCTCTTTCTTAGCCTTCACAGAAGCTAACAGATACTTTTATGGAACTGTATTGATAATAGTATGATTCAAAATAGTTAGGAGAAATATCCGAGAAGTCTAGATGAAACACCAACAAAATTATTAACCGTGAGCACTGGAAATTTTGCTGAAACATAAAAATATAGCGGTGCAATGAATGTGCAATGGTTTCAAATAAAATCAGAAATGTGCTTGATTTTCAGTCTAAGAGTCATGTTTAAAAGATGATTGGAATATATTTTAACATTAGCAACTCATACCATCTGAGGTACACATGACAACCAAAAGAATCAGAAAACTCAGTCCCTAAGGAAAAATCAGATGTGGAAAGGTGGAAATTAAATAAACTGGAAGTAAACTACAAAACAGTGTTGTAGTTTTTAACAAAAAGCAATTTTGTAAGACAACAATCAAAGGATAACAAATAATCTAGGGTGACATTGACATTTACATACTCTGGTATACATACAAATTTTACATACACTGGTATAAATCTATGTCTCAAAAAGCACATAAACATGACTGAATTATGAATGTGTTTTTCCAACAGTTGGATGTATCATCAATAATGCCTTTAGATGTTTTCTATCTCCTTTTTGGATTTAATCCAATATTTAGGACAAATAGGATGCTAAAGGTAAGATAACCATATTTAATAATCTTCTTTTAAAAATATATTATAATTTAGGGTATGTGTTTACAGTCATGATTATACTAACAGACTTGCTGTACAATTGCCACTACCAAAGTATCCATGACACGCTCCCTCCCTCACTCACCCATCTCTAAGTTACTTTCATTCCATCTCTTCCTCCTTACTCTGCTACTCACAGTTTGTACTCTAGTACCCATGGTTTGTCATCAGTACACACTGTGCTGGAGCAATAGCACAGCAGGTAGGGCGTTGGCCTTACAAGCAGCCAACATGGCTGACCCGAGTTCGATTCCTCCGCCCCTCTCGGAGAGCCTGGCAAGCTACCGAGAGTATTCGATATGCCAGACACAGTAACAACAAAGTCTCCAATGGAGACATTACTGGGCCCGCTCGAGCAAATCGACGATCAACGGGAGGGCCTTTACTTTTACTTACTTTTACACACTGTGCATATTCTGTGTCAAAACACTACAGATGAGTACAATCATCTAGTACCTATCATTTTCCCTCAAAGCAACACACTCAAGTTACACCAAAGTTGCCACAGATAGCATTATTTCATATTTCCCTGTATGAACAGTACTATTCATACAATACTATTATTGTATGAATGCTTTCACATAATAGTATTCCATTGTTCCTATATAACATACCTTCTTTATCCATTTGTCTGTTGTTGGACATTTACATTGTTTCCATATCTTGGCTATTGTATTAAGTGCTTCAGTGAATATATATGTGCATGTATCCCTTCATATCAAAGTTTTATAATAGCATAAATCTTGGAATCATTTAAAATATCCTAAATGTATAATATTTTTAATCTTTCTCAAACTTTCCTCATTTTTCTACCCTCATCAATGCTATGAATTTTAAAAACTAAACACATAATTGTTTTGACTGATGAAAATTACTCTTATTACAAGTAAGACTAACTTATTATAGTTATTTTTATTCTACATTAGTATTTACTTTTATAACCTATTAAAGGAATGCTTCTATACTTATAAAATACTATAATAAAATGAGTCTTTTATATTTTTGTTCTTTTATCTTTATTATACTGTCACTGAATGCCTGGACAAGGGAATTTAATTAGATGACCTCTAAGTCCTCTTACTCATCTAATTCCATAATTCTAGTAAAATACAAACACATTTCATAGAATAAAATTATTAACTATTACTGAAATGTCAATAGGAAACTAAATAAATACACTGTAATCCATATAATACCTTACATATTTGTAAAAGCAAAGAGAAAAATTTCTGTGAACTACAAAATGGCCTCTAAGATAACTCTATACTTTTAAGTTTGACCAGAGAATATGGAACTAGATTGGGATTCAAAGAAGCTAGTTACCTCAAATTTTAGTTTCAAAAATTTCTAGGAGTCCCCTGCTTGAGATAACCAACTTTCAGAGAGGCTAAAAGACTGGGAATATGTCTGGAATTATAAGGAAAGCTTATAAAATTCATCATCGAGGAAAACATGGGTAGGACACCATGGCATTGCAACTAATGAAGTCTTTAATGAGTCAATGTCATTGGCCAAGCAAACAGAAGCAAAGAGTAAGAAATGGGAATGCAGGAAACATTTGCACCATGAGAGAGAGAGAGAGAGAGAGAGAGAGAGAGAGAGAGAGAGAGAGAGAGAGAGAGAGAGAAGGAGGGACAGGAAGGGAGAGAGGGAGGGAGGGAGAGAGGGAGGGAGGGAGGAGGCAGGGTGGGGGAGGAAGACCAGATAAATTATACCCCACAGTTCGGAAAATAATATTTTCCCATCTCTTATCTGACAGTCAATACCCATGATATATAAAGCACTAGTAAAACTTCTGGGAAGGAAGTTTTAGCACTGTAGTCAGTCCTGTCCTCCAGTTGTTCATCTATTTGCTCAAGCGGGCCCAGTAATGTCCCCATTGTGAAACTTGTTGTTACTGTGTTTGGCATATCGAATACATCACGGGTAGCTTGCCAGGCTTTGCCGTGCAAGTGAGATACTCTCAGTCACTTGCCAAGCTCTCCGAGAGGGGCAGAGTAATCGAATCCAGGCTGGGCCGGCTGCATGCAAGGTAAACGCCCTACCACTGTGCTACTGTTCAAGAAAAAGTCACCTACATCAAAAAACTGGAGGAAGAGATGAACAGAAACTTCTCAAAGGCATGCACAGGGCCAAAAGGGAAGTGAAAAATTACTTGTATCACTTAACACCAAGAAAACAAAAATCAAAGCAATAAGATATCATCTCACACTGATGAGACTGGCACATACTACAAAGGAGGAAAAGAACAGCATTGGTTTGGCTGTAGAGAAAAGGGACCCTAGTTACTTCTGATGGAGTGTCAACTGGTCCAGACCTTCTGAAAACAAATATGGGCATCTTTTCAAAAAACTAAGAATTAGGCTTTTATATGACCCAGCAACTCCCAATTCCTGGCATCTATTCCAAGGGCCCAAAACCCTGTCACTGTCCTCCCATTGTTCATCAATTTGCTCGAGCGGGCCCAGTAATGTCTCCACTGTGAGATTTGTTGTTACTGTGTTTGGCGTATTGAATACGTCACGGGGAGCTTGCCAGGCTTTGCTGTGCAGGTGAAATAATCTCCGTAGCTTCTCTGGCTCTCTGAGAGGGGCGAAGGAATCAAACCAGGTGCAGCCAGGCTGGGCCAGCCACATGCAAGGCAAACACCCTACTGCAGTGCTATCACTCTGCCCCTATTTAAAAAAAAAACAAAAAGATTGTGCTCTTATGTTTATTGTGGCACTATTCACAACATGAAAATTTTGAAAACAACCTAAGTGTTGAACAACAAATGAATAAATAAACCATGGTACAAATCTACACCGTGGAATACTACTTGGTGATAAAGATGAGATTTCTTATCTTTCTAAAGGATGAGATTGCTTCTACGTGGATGGATCCAGAGACAACCATGCTAGCATTAGTCAGGAGAGGGACACAGAATGATCCCTCTCATAAGTGGGAGATAATTGCCCCAAGACAATACAACGGAGACCTGCTCATGCATAGGAAGCTTGAGGAGAAGGCGTGAAGGGAGGAGAGAGCGGGGAAGCAGGGCCCAGTGCCATACGGAAGCGGATACTCTGCAAGAAAGCACGGTACTAGGATGTTTTAGGCGTTAAGCCCCACCAGGAACAGGACTGCAAACCATGTTGCCTAAAATTTAAAACTTCAAAAATGCAAATGACTTTGAAAGCTTCTAAAATTCTAGCTTCTCACAACTTATCTCTGGAACCTTAAAATGTTCAAAAACCTTTTGTATTTAGTAGTGTGGTGTGTAGTTTTTAACCAGGAGATTCTATGATAGTTCCACAATTTCATCGTCCAGCCCAGCCACAAATATGATGCCATTTTAACATTAAGATAAATGTAATTTTCTGTCTCCAAATTGTATGAGAAAGAAAATTCAAATTACAGTTTTATGACTTAGTGAGCACTTGGGCTAGAGCCATAGCATGGCGGGTAGGGCATTTGCTTTGCACGCAGCTGACCTGGTTCGATTCCTCCATCCCTCTTGGAGAGCCTGGAAAGCTACCGAGAGGATCCCGCCTGCATGGCAGAGCCTGGCAGGCTCCCCGTGGCATATTCAGTATGACAAAAACAGTAACAACAAGTCTCACAATGGAGACGTTACTGGTGCCCGCTCAAGCAAATCGATGAACAATGGGAGGACAGTGCTACAGTGAGCACTGAAGCAAATTTAAAACATAATTTTGTGCAAATTTATACTAAGACCACAAAAAATTACAAATTGATATTACCTTAATTTAAAATGTTCAACTTAATCCATCACATAGGAGTTTTTCCTATATAATAATTGTGGGGAAAATAAACAAGTCACTGTGGGGCCAGAGCAATAATACAGCAGGTAGGGAACTTGCCTTGCACATAGCCGACCTGTGTTCAATACCCCAATATCCCAAGGAATGATTTCTAAGGACAAAATCAGGAGCAATCCCTGAGCATTGCTGTGTATGGCCCAAAAAACACCATCATTTTCAAAAAAATTCTCATGTGGTTATTTCTAGTCAAATAGCAACTTTAATTGAATCAAATGTATATAAACTCAAATGTATCTTTGAATAGTGTCAAGTATATCTAGACAATGCTAATATTTGTTGTATTTTAAATTCTATTGAAATAAATACACTCTTAATTTAGCTTGTTTAAAAATAATTCCAGGAGCTGAAGAGATAGGACAAGGATTCAGGTGTCTGCCATGTGTGCAGCAAACACGGATTCAATCCTCGGCATTACCTATTGTCTCCCAAGTACCACTGGGAGTGATCCCTAAGTGAAGAGCTAGAATTAAGCCCTGAGCACAGCCAGTTGTGTTCTAAAAAACAAAACAAAAAAGAAAAATGGAAGAGCTGAGTTACAACTTAACTCCTATTTGTGACTTTAGTGTATTGTAATTTCACTCCTTTGCTTATGTTTAGAATGGATATTGCAAAATGGAATTTTGTTATATGCTTTAAAAAAAAGAAAATGTTCTTAAGCTTGACTTTTGATGAGCTACACAAACAAGTCTGTAACTAGAGGGTAAAAATATAATAAAATAAGTTTGTCACCATGTCACCATATAGTGCCCAAAATTAAGCACCGCTATACAAGCTCTAGTTTTTTCAAATGACATATAAATAGAATTATTTTCAGTAGCAAAATCTATTTTATATAGCATTATTTAAAAGGATTGATCTGAGACTAACATTTTTGTTTGTTTTTTTTTTTGCTTTTTTTCTGCATAGTACACTTCATTTTTTGAATTTAACCATCACCTAGAGTCTATAATGGATAAAGCATATATTTACAGGTAAAGTATAATTCAGTATACTTCAAGGATGGGAGAGAAAATAATGATACAACATTTTAGACAACAGTTGGAAAGAATATGAACTCCATATTAAAAAAGAGAAACAATTTCCAACTGGGGAGCTATGTCAAATATCGGGGTTATATTCCAAATTGAGCTTAGAAACATCTGGAATCCTATTTGATTGCAGATGACTAAAATAATGGGACAAAACAAATTAAAATAATAGGACACATTACCTTTTCAGTTAGAACAAGTATAGATAAATATGCTCTTTCCTTCCAACCTGACAACATCTCTTTCCTGACAATTTTGGCTAATCTGAATTTCATTCACTTGCTGTTCTGAAATTCACTTGTACAGAGATCACCAGTCACAATTAAGTAGCATCAAATCCCACGGGCTTTACCAGCGCTACCCAATTCAATCAGTGTGGCATATTTTATGGGTCTCAAAGAGAAGAAGTGACCCCTCGAGGCAAGTCTTTCAGGAGGTGACTCCTACCATCTGCGAGAAGAGAGGAGGATTTTTTTTACACCCTGTCAGTTGCAGTCAGGACACTGCAGTCAGAAAATCAGCAGTGACACCATCATTTCATACTGTACTGATGGAAGTTAGCAGCTCACCCGTTTCAAACCAGGAGGTTCAGCAGAGACTTGAAAGCAAAGAAAAATGTTAAAATAGGCTGTATTCCAGAAACAACGGGAGGCTCACTTGGCGTTTATTCTCCTTGACAGAGTCATTCGAACAACTGGATACTTGCTGTTTACTCTCCACATTAACGCCTGTATTTATTACTGGGCTTCGAACTACGAAGGAATTGGCAGTACTAAATGGGTGTATAATGGAGAAGGGAACAAGTGAGTTTTAATTCTGGAAAAAAGAAACATGTTATAGATTTTTTTTTCCCCCAGTTTATAAGCTTTCTGTTGTCAGTGATTTGGATACCACATTACAACCCGTTAATGGTCAACAAAAACTTATCTTAGCTCAGAATGTTTTTGAATTCAAGAATATGGAGAATGAGACACATAATATTAACGTCTTTCATATATAGGAAAAAGTGCATATGCGTGAGTGTGTGTGTGTGCGCACGCGCGTGCATGTGTGTGTGTGTGTGTGTGTGTGTGTGTGTGTTTATGTGTCCTGGCTTTACCTGGGAAACGTATTTCTTACTCTGGATCAAGATTCAAAAGTTCGAAAGCCTCTGCTTTAGACAACGGAGTGAATGGGTAGGCAACTTTTATGACTCCAGAGCTGATTGTTAGTAATGAACAATGTTAATTATTTGGAGGGCAGGTGCAGTAGCTAATTAGTTTACCACTGAAAGGTTTTATGGGTTTATGAGTCAGCTATAACCACTAACTCAATTAAACACTTACAGAGTAACAAGGATCATAAATTAAACTCGACAATTACATATGCAAGTCTTCTAGAAATAAAAGATCATTTTAAAATTTAGTTCAGTAGAATCAGGACTCAATAATGGCAATGAAGTTATTTAATAGTGATGGTTCTTCTTTGTAAATACAAGACCTGGCTTGAAGTACACTCTCTTGGTTCCCACTCCTATGAAATTATATTGAGCATATAATAAAGTGACATTCCTTTTGAAAAAAAGTAGGTACCATTTTTCTCAAACATCCCATTCACCACTGAAAAGAGTGGGTCGAGATGGGATGGCAGGTGTCTGGAAGATCCTAGGGCCTTTGCTACCATTTCTATTGTGCTTTGGGATCTGTCTTTTTTTTTTTTATTAATGAAACATCATGAGGTACAGTTGTAGACTTACAAATTTTTGTGCTCGGATTTCAATTATACTATGATCAAATACCCATCCCTCCACCAGTGCCCATTTTCCACCACCACGGATCCCAGTATCCCTCCCACCCCCCATTCCCCCAATCCCACCCTTTCTCTGTGGCAGGGCATTCCCTTTTGTTCTCTCTCTCCTTTTGGGTGTTGTGGTTTGCAAAAGAGGTATTGAGTGGCAATCATGTTTGGTCTATAGTCTACTTTCAGCATGCTTCTCCCATCCTGGGAATCCTCCCAACACCCTTTATTTGGTGCTCCTTTCTCTGAGCTCCTTTTCCTCTAGCATGTGTGGTTGGCCTCCAAGCCATGGAGCAAATCTCCTGGTACTAATCTTGGCCACTCTTGGTTGTTAGTCTCCTATTTTGTTACTTTATGTTCCCCAGATGAATGCAATCTTTCTATGTCTATCCCTCTCTTTCTGACTCATTTCGATTAACATGATACTTTTCAGGTAGTACCACTTGTATGTAAATTTCATGACTTCATCTTTTCTAACAGCTACATAGTACTCCATTGTGTAGATGTACCAAAGTTTCTTTAACCCGTCATCTGTTCTTGGGCACTCAGTTTTTTCCAGATTCTGGCTATTGTAAAGAGTGCTGCAATGAACAAACAAGTGCAGATGTCACTTCAACTATACTTTTTTGCCTCTCTGGGATATATTCCCAAGAGTGGTATTGCTGGGTCAAAGGGGAGCAGAATTTCTAATTTTTTGAGAATTGTCCATACTGTTTTCCAAAAGGGTTGAACCAGTCGGCATTCCCACCAGCAGTGAAGGAGTGTCCCTTTCTCGCCATATCCCTGCCAACACAAGTTGGTTTTGTTCTTTTGGATGTGGGCCAGTCTCTGTGGTGTGAAATGATACCTAATTGTTTTGATCTGCATCTCCCTGATGATTAATGATGTAGAGCATTTTCTCATGTGCCTTGTAGCCATTCGGATTTCTTCTTTGAGAAAGTTTCTATTCATTTTTTCGCCCCATTTTTTGATGGGGTTGGATGTTTTCTTTTTGTGAAGTTCAACCAGTACTTTGTATATGGGATCTGTATTTTAATGGTAATTTTATTGGTCCTCTTTAGCATTACTAGGCTAAAACCTGACATTTTCTAACTTTAAATGGGGTGGCTGGAGTCTAGTTGCTAAGTGGCTGCACAGATAGCCACAGGATTTGGGCTGTAGCAAGTAACTTGCATCACAAAGTCTGGTTTTAGGATAGGTGCTATTGTCCAAGTCTGCTCGGATCGGGACTGGGTCTCCTCCCGATCAGGTCCCCCTTTTTCCAGTAGCTTGGCAGTCACACCCACAATCGACCCTGGTGCCATGTAATCTCATCAATGGCCAAGATCCAGAGACTATAAAATAAAGCTCCCAGACAAGAGTGAAGTAGTATTTCCCTCTCAGAGAGCCCAGCAAGCTAGCGAGAGTATCCAGCCCATATGGCAGAGCCTGGCAAGCTACAGGTGATGTACTCAATATTCCAAAAACAGTAACGACAGTCCTCATTCCTGTGACCCTGAAAAAGCCCCCTCCCCCCAATACGCCATAGGGCTACACTAGTATGCGACAGGGACAAATGGAGACATTACTGGCATCTGCTCAAGCAAATCGATGAACAATGGGATGACAATAACAGTGACAGTGACAGCTATTGTCCAGAGGATCTTCAGAAGACAGACCTACCCACACCTTGCTCTAGTTCAGAGAGTTGGGGGTCATGTGCGTGGGAGAGAATGATCAATCCTGCCATTTGCCCCCACATCTACAGAAAAGCAGCTAAAAGAAGTCACCAAAAAACTGACTTACTTGGAAAGGTGGCTCATTTGTCTATGATATGCTTATTAGAGGATTGTTAGCCTTCTTCAATTTGCAGAAGAATATACTTGAACACAGACCTAGTGTGTCTGCAGAAGTCATCTCCATACACACAGGCTGGCACCATCTTCCCCAATATTTTACATTTCTAATGCTAAATACCACACATCCAAATATCACATAAACTACATATAATTTTTGCAGTGAGATGACTTATGATTCCTAGTTATAGGGTACATTTCTAGATAAATGATCATTGCAACAGGTTTCAATAATAGCTGAATTCTCTGAAAAAGAAGAATCTCCAAAGGCTGAGAAACAAAAGTGTATACTAAAATAGAAAGAACCAGTGAAAAACAGAAACAGAGAAGATAACTTCTTAATCAAGAGAGAAGAAGTCAAAAACTAAGAACTAATTTTGTGTAGATAAGTATAGAAAGGCAGAACAAATAGAGAATTTCAAAGATCGTCAAGAAAACTTACCTGTCAGTGAACACAGAAAAATAATATGGGCTAAATTGGCCACCTGAACAAAAGTCAATTGATTTTTGCCAAAATATTTTTTTAAAAATTTTAAAAATAAATAAAAATCATCTCAGGGAAAAAGAAGTCACCATAGAAAGTTTCGATACACCAGTGAACTACTTCAATTCTAAGCGTTAATGTACCTAATAGAATTACAATCATTCAATGAGAATTGTAAGTAAACAGGTAAGGTAAAAGACACCATCAAAATATGAAATGATGTCAGGGCACAATTACAGTTAATCAAGCAACCAAAAACCACTTGCAAAGATACAAAATGTTTGAGACCCCAACTGATGAGCCTGAGTGAAGGGATATAAGTAGAACCTTGCTCCCAAGAATTTGAAACCACCATTCTCCTTACTCATTCATGGAAAGACAGCCACAACCATCATTTTCTAGGCCAAAAATGTTTCAAGACATTTCAAGAGCTGAATGTATTGCCCACATACTGATTATAAAAGTAAGTGTGACCCCACTGATATACTCTGCTCAGACAAGTGGAAGAAAGTGAAATTAAAGCCCCCAAATTTCTGTTACCAACTATCAGGCACCCAGGTTGCCATCCTTAGAATGAAAATGCCTTTTAAAAGCAACATTCTTTTTTATTTTTGAGAAAATTGTCCCCTGGAAGCTATTAATATTCTTCACAGTTTTTAATGATCACCTGTCACCTGACCCTCCTGGTAGCTTCACATTATTCTTTGACCTTCCATGCCTAAAGCATTTTTTTAGTAGACCCTTGTGATGATTTCCGATGACCTATAAATGGGTGGTTGCCTTTGAAACCATTGCATTTGTCAACTTTGCCCTGGTTATAATTAGGCAGCAAATAGTGGGGCATAACCTGGAGAACTGTGAACATTTAAAATAAGAGTCAAATTTATTACTGTTAATCTTGACCAGAAAAAAACTAACAGTGTCTGTACAGTTCAGTAGGAGACAAAAAGTCACTTTTATTTCTGTCAAGTAGATAACATTCTTCATTTGACTGTGAAATTTCACAAAGAAAGAAGTTTAGTACAAAAGAATAAAACATAAAATTTACTTGGTATCCCAAAATGCCCCTTATGAAGCTTTGTGTGTGTGTGTGTGTATGTATGTATGTGTATATATATATATATATATATATATGTATATATATGTACTCGTTTTCTAATATTAAATATCTTCATATTCACAAACCACTTGGCAGCTTGTTCATCTGATCCCTAATACATCCTCAAAGAAAACAATTTTTAAAAATACATAAAAAGGCATAAAAACAATAAAAATACTGTCATTCGGATTCATGACTTTAAATGAGGTGGAGAAGGAATCACAATTATCTTAGTGTTGGAGAAACTTAGGATGGTGTAACCCTTTACCTTACACAGAAAGATGATGAGTAAAGGTATATGAAACTATTTTTTCAGGAAAAGGAATTTTCCCTAGACACGAAATATACTCTAGAAGCAACAAAACCATTTGAAGGCAGTAAAAACTCTGCATATCAAGAGGGAAATAATAGGCAATCAAAAATAGGACAGGGAAAAGACTGAAAAGTGATATCGATTTATTTCACTGAAGTCTAGGTCTGCCTAACCATTCATATTTTTCAACAAATAGTAAGTTCCCATTATATTGTAGATCCAACAATAACTCTACCTGGAACCTCTCTTGTAATAGGACCACTGTCCCCCATACTCATTTATTTCAGTGATAAATTTAAAGAAACACAATTAAAATAAATTGGGATAGTTAACAATGTCCTTATGTAAACTATGGGTGTTTTGACTCCTACCATTAAGGCCAAAACTAAAAATATTGACAATATCAAGTGTTGTAAACAGAAATGGAGCAACTGAAACTCTCTAATATGTTGTTGGAGTGACTATAAAACATTGCAATCATTTTGGGGAAATATTTGAAACGTTTCCTTGACAATTTAAACATAATACCCCTTTACATAACAAAAACTGTAAGCCCAGATATGTGCCCAAGAGACATGAAAATGCACATCCATAAAAAGCACATAGTTTAACTAGATCAATTATTCATATCCCAAGTCTTTAGAAAGTCAAAATGTTTATATGTAGGTGTTTATAAGACAATAGCTACATAAATTGATATATAAACTGAAGTATATATAAACTGAAGATATATAAACCGAAGTATGTAATGTGATACTCTGCACTAAAAAGGAAACTACTAATACAAACAACAACATAAATAATATACTAAAATGGAAACTACTAATATAAACAACAACAACATAATCAGTAAATCTCAACAACATAAATAAATTTCAAAAACATTACGCTGAATTACAGATGCCTTACAAAAATATGTTTGTTCTGTTCTAGGGCAAGACTCATCGATGATAGAAAGTTAGAACAGTGATTTACATCTGGGGTAAAGATTGGGTAAAGGAATGAACAAACTTTCTGAGGTGATAAAAATGTTTTATGTCTTGATAGAGTTGGGGTTACCAAGTGCATGCATTCATCATAATTTATTAAATGGCACTCCAAGGTTTGTGCTTTTGATGTTAAAATAAAAAATAAAATAAAACGTTGGATTCCAGGGGCCAGATAGAAAAATAGATCAATGAGTTGAGCATGTGCTTTTCATGAGGGAGATTCAAACTTGACCCCAAATACCACAGAGCCCCTCTATAGCTGCCAAGACTGAGCCCCAAACACTGAAGTGGGAGAAGCCTCCAGCACTGTCAAGTCAGGCCATAAAAAAACAATAATAAATGTACTTCATTTAACACATATGTATTCTGAAATACATATATATATAGATATAGATACATAATGTACTCACTTAGAAGGAAAGATCTTATGTCTATAAGCTTCTTTGAAATATGTCCAAACTACAAAATGGTTTGATGGATGGAAAAATGAAGGAATGTGTGAGACAAGATAGAGTAAAATGGATGGTAGAAATGAGGAAATACTGACTTTACTGTAAAATTCTTCCAATTTTTCTGTTGAAATTGTTCCATAAGAAACGGGGGGTGGGGGATAGTAGGTCACACTTATTTCGCAACAAAGAATTTCTATTTTCAAACGTTTTATTGTCTAGACAAAGAAGTTATATTTTACAACGGTTTTCTCTTGTTTTGCATGGTTTGTGTGTTGTCTTTCTTTTTGTTTGGCTTGGTTTGATTTTAGTTTGGCCAAATTCTGCCTTCCTGCCTTACTCTAAATTAATAAGCTGTATATATATATATATATATATATATATATATATATGTACTACCTGTTGGATAATACATGTATTAAATCAGCCAGATAGAATCTCCCTGAAAAATCTATTGGCTTAGGTTGTAAATATTAGAGGTGGACACACTTGAATAATTAAGCTAATCCTAGAAAATCAATAAGATGCCTTCTAATTAAATTACAAATCTTACTTCTGGTTGTGCATGTCTGTAAGACACAACTGAGAAAAGAAACGGAAAATAAATGTTATAGCATCCAAGCAGAAAACTTCCAATTAACTTAGTGGACTATTTCATAATCAAAATTAATCATAATACTAGTCCAAGGCTAACCTTCAGATTTGGAAAAATCAATGTCATTGTTTCACTTTGATTCTAATTCTTTAAACATCCATAAATAGGAAATGAGAGAATCTTATTCGTGTTTGCTCCCATTACACTACAATGACTTTGAAAAGGACAGTAATTTTAGTACTTACAAAGCAGTTGGCCATATAAGAAAGAATCTAGCACTTGCCTATTCCTAGGCAGTGTAGAATTTATTATTTTTTTAATATAAAAATATTCACAGATACAAGATCTGTGATAGAAAAAAATCAGGTATAAGAAAGTATACATTAAAATTTGAAAACTTAAAATACAATCCATAAAATTAATTCTATACTTTTTCAAGGTGATTCTCTTTACATCAAGTTCACTGTACTATTAGCAAGTCCCAGGAAGTCTGCTAAAAAAAAAATTAAGTGATAATATTTTTATTCTCATGACACAGAGGTTTTAAATACTACCAAAGAGTTAATCATTTTCCTGCTCCTATATTCACAAGATTAAAATAAAAATAGCCTCATGTCCTTCAAAAGTTATTGAATTTCAAAATGAATGATTTCTTTCTAGATCCATTTCTGTTGAATATTGCCTTCAACTGCAATTTGATTTTTTCTTCTTTGTAAGCCAAACTTCTTACTATTAGAAGATCTGAAAAGTATAAACTATTTTTATAAGAACTCACTTAATTTCAAAGAAAAAATATAAATATTAATGCAATGTTTATATTGTCACATGCAGAGAAGAATTAAAACCCCAATTCAGCCAAGAAGAACATCAGAATAGAGAATAAAACTGTTTCTGTCTCTATATTAGTTATAAGAACAGCGGAGGGAGGGAGGGAGGGAGTGAAGGGTGAGAGGAAGAGAAAAGGGGAGAGAGGGAGAGAGAGAGAGAGAGAGAGAGAGAGAGACAGAGAGAGACAGAGAGAGACAGAGGGAGACAGGGAGAAGGAGAGAGAGGAAAGAGAGTGGAAAGAAAGAGAGGAGAGAGTGAGTGAGTGAGAGAGAGAGGGAGGGAGAGAGAGAGAGAGAGGAGAGAGAGAGAGAGAGAGAGAGAGAGAGAGAGAGAGAGAGAGAGAGCCTGAAATTCTTTGCTGATCCTCTCACTAAAAGATGGATTCCATGAATCCAGCCCTGTTTTAGTGACTTGCTCAGTAAACGTGATGTGGCAGGTGATGCCTCCCATAATTACAGGTGTTGCTTGAGCTGTTACTGCTGAGGTAGTGAGGAAGGGAAGGGGTCCAACTAGCTGCCTTTGGAAAAAAATTTACTCACCTTGAAGCAGCAGCCACTGAGGAAACACAAGCTAGTCATACTGAGAGACTGAGTGAATGCAGACAGAGAGCCGGCCCCAGCTCTTCAAACATCCTAACCTAAACCAGACATGGGAGAGAAGGCATATGCGGGCAGGCCGGTCATACAAATGTGGAGAACACAGAAACCAATTAAATATTAATTGGAGCCAATTTTTAGAATCAAAGTCCCAGACATTTGGTTCCAATGAGGTGAGCCTGGTTGGGATCACTCTTCACAGAGCGTCAAAGAAATCCTCTCAGCCTGCCTTTTACAGAAACCTGACCCACAAAATGATGAGTGAAATATAAGTAGTTGTTTTATACCACTAAATTCTGGAGTAATTTGATTTATAGAAAGAAGTGTAGCAACTAGTAAGCAACATTCTTGGGTTTATTTAGTCGTTTTATAACGTCTATCAAAAAGTTCATATTTGCCACCTGTAATTTGCAAGCACAAATGTTTTAAATCTTGATAAAGAGGAAATGTGCTAAAATTTACTAGTAATCTGTATTCTCAAATACAGTGATATTTTAATGGAATACTTTTTTTTAAATGCTCTCTTCTCATTTACAGGTATCTGAGATGTTACTATTGGGCAGTGCGATCTTTAATTACCATTGGCGGTCTTCCAGACCCACAAACTTCATTTGAAATTGTTTTTCAACTGTTGAATTTTTTTCTGGGAGTTTTTGTATTCTCCAGTTTAATTGGTCAGGTAAGCTGAAGTCCTGGGCACAGAATTTTGTCAAAAGAATTTTGCAAAAGAATTCTTGGCTCTTGTTGCGCAGTTACCTTTCTGCCAATTTGCTGTTGCTCTACAGAGTTAAAGGACAGGTCTATACCCAGCGTTTCTTATCTGATAGCAGGAATATTTGGAATGTATGTTCATTGGTTAAATATTTTTTAAAAGCTTACAGAGGAAAAAAAAGATTTATCTGGTGCTTTACTTTTACAAACTTGTCATCTATCATAATAAATTGGAATAAGATATGAATGAATCAACGCTATCTCTTAATTTAGTTTCAAATCCCTTAAATCTATCAGAAGACTACAATGACTGTCAAGACTCAGAATAAATGTCTAGGTTCTAAAAAGAACCTCATACTCGGAGCTTCCTGAAACCCTGTAAACGCTTTTGCTTTTATCCAAATTTAATGTATCATAAAGTCTCTGGGTTAAAATTAGCTTCAGACATTTAAACCAGTTCCTACCAAATACCATCACAAGGAATTTTATTGGTAAGTCATTGAGTTATAATTACTATGGCATCGGTTTATTTTTATTCTTAAAGGATCAAATTCTAGCAAAAGAAAATAAAACAAATACATAACTATTGTGAGTTACTTGGCATTCACAAGGGAGAGAGCCCTTCGGAGACCAGATTCACAAGAAATAAAAACTCAGTGACACAGCATCATGAGAAGTTCTACTTCCCTGGAAGATCAGTTACTGAATATATGAAAACAAACACTATGTTGGGACTTGTGCACTGCGTAAAGAGACAAAAAATCAGAAAATGATTATTCCCAATAAATATATGACTGGTTTCTAGGCACACATTTAAAATGGTGTAAATAAAACCAGGCATAAGCAAAATTTCACCATAAAGGCTGTCCTTTAGAACATTTGATTTGAAGCTAATCAATCACAAATAATCAAAACTCAAATTCTGTAGTCATGGATGGTAGTTCTGTTGTCCATGTTAAGTATCAAAGGAAAAACTTGTATTTGTTCAGAAAAGAAGAATCCTAGGAGGTTTCATTGAGGCAAATGCATCTGAAACATTTTTCAAAACCAAGTAAGAATAGTATTTATGGGAGGCAGTTCATTGATCAAAAACTATGTGGAAGATGGGAACAATAAAACACAAAATATGTTTTGAGGAAAGAGTATACTGGTATGAAAGATGCTAGTAGATTAGTTTAGAGATACATGCAGACAAGATATTTTTAAAGCTTTGAATGTTAAATCAAAGATGTTAAAATATTATCCAAAAGTCAAATGAGAGATTGAAAAGCAATTTAAGGAAGATTGATTAAAATACAATATGAATTGGAAGGTGGGAGGAGCTGGATACTGTTTTAAAATACAGGTTTGATTATTATTTATATATTGCAAGGACAATAAAGCAGGTGATTAGGCTTTGAAAAAAAGAGTTCATTACAGAAATAGATCCCAAAAAGGAATCTACATATGGAAATACCAGAGAAGGACTTGATGGAGCGAGATAAGGGGGTTTATGATAGAGTTGTTTATAATTCCAGCAGACCCAGAAGCATAGCGGTTTTCTCTAGCTGCAAGGTACTGGAGCTAACCCGTTTGAAATGTGAGGTCCTGAAAGAAAATGCTAAGGGGAATATCTCCTTTGGATTGATTAGTTTGCATATGAAAGATACATGCCTAAGGGAGTTGTTTGCTATCTCAAGGAATTAGCTAACTCTGGGAGAGATAGTCTCAGCAACCTAGCAACAAGATAAAGAAAACAAAAACCAAAGCTAACACAGGATATGGAATCCAGCCTGAGCAGATAATGGAGCAAAGAGAGAGTTTCTATTTAGGAAATATAATGGCTAGCAAAATTGCGTTAACTATGACTGAAAGTGGAAACTGGTTGAGAGAGAAATGCAATTCAAATGAATTTGAATAGTAATATCAAAAATATTTCACAGTTTTCTCATAAAATCTAGATGAGGAAGTCATCTCACTTCCAATATTTTTCTCAATTTTACAAATGGGCAATTACCAGCTTAAAAAATTAAGGATTCCCAATTTATATGTTATTCATAAAGTCATATAATAGAGTCATATAAGAATAGGATAGAGTGAAATCTACATGAATTAAGCACTTACTATGTCCAAAGAAATATTTAACGAAACAGAAAAACTTTTGTCTAGTTCCAATTTAATTCTCTTGCTACTCAAAGTATAACTATCTGTAGACCAATAATGGTAGCATCACTTGGAAAATCCAGATCCTTTCCATGACCTACTGAACTTAAAAAAAATCTGCATTTTAACAAAATATTTAGACTATTCATATATTCATTGGGCTGGAGCGATAGCATAGCTATAGGGCGTTTGCCTTGTGTGCAGCCAGCCCGGCTGAGCCAGGTTCAATTCTTCCACCCCTCTCAGAGAGCCCAGCAAGCTACCAAGAGTTTTTCACCCACACGGCAAAGCCTGGCAAGCTACCCATGACGTATTCAATATGCCAAACACAGTAACAACAAGTCTCAAAATAGAGACGTTACTAGGCCCGCTCAAGCAAATAGATGAACAACGGGAGGAAGTGACAAAATATTCATAATATTTTGAATGGAAGTGACAAAATATTCATAATATTTTGAATGGAGCTTCTTTTTTTAATGCCTTTATGCCTATTTTATATGGAATTTTAGTTTACACTAGTAACAGAAGAAATGACTAATAGCTGAAAATGTAGAACTAGCACAAAAGACTGAGGCAAGAAGCATGGGTCTGTACCTAAAATTCTTCCAGTATATAAAAGATGCTGAGAAGGACAGCTAGGAATAAAAATTCAGAGGGCCAGAAATAAAATTTTTACCTTTACAAAACTTCCACTTAAAACTACCCCAACCATCAAATTTTAACTGCAGTATTTTCTTATCTGATAAAAACTCATACAGGTTGGCATTCTCTTCCCTACACATCTGCACATACTTTCCTTACCTGGAATGTATTATATTGCACGTCTTAAACTATACTATCAAACCCAACATGGCTGGATAGATAAGGCATAAATCTTTTAGATTAATGTCACCACAAATTCTGGGCCATCAATATAGATCAATAATGCTCTCAATTGTCATTGGTTTCGATTTAAAATTCCACGACATCTTCCAGTCCAACTCCTCCCAGTTCAGTATGTTCATCATCTTGGAAGGACATCTTTGAAAAGAGAAGCTAAGAATTGGGGTTGATGAAGACTACATAGAACAGCCGCGAAGGAGCAAATCAGACTGAAAAAGACACTTTCATTTTAACTGTCTGCATAGTTCCTGCTCTTCTTTGGATTAGAAGAATCTATTAATTTTCAAGATCGACACTGGAAAAGGCCTCACAATAGAAGAGTCACTTGAGATAGACCTCATAAATATGAGCCATTTTTTTCAAAAACAAAAAAGACTCGGCTACAGGAATGAATGAGTGAGCAGAGTCTTAAAAGTCTGCAAGTGAGACCCTGATTTTTCTTCCTCGACTAAAGGCACAGTCACAGCAAATTTACAACCACTTGCTTCATTCTATGGGAAAGGAAGAGTAAAGCGATACATAAGAAGAGTCAAGTTATATATCTTTTTTGTGCTGAGACCTTAGAGATCAGCTTTTAACCTAGAGTGGGTTTTTATGGCTGGGTTATAAACATCCAAGAACTAAAACCTGACAGTTCTTTAAGGATTGTCACAGCAGTAGATGATGCTTCAGTAATTTCAGCACATTTCAACTTCTGCTGAATACTTTGCCTTAAGCAGTATGATATTTGATTTTATCTGTCTAAACAACACAAAGGGAAGTACAGAGGTTGCAATTTTATGATGAATTGAGTCTATGTAGCCAGCCATATTAGATAATCTATGAAGGATGCTTTCAAAGTCAGACTCGCCAAAATGGCCATTCTTCCAAATAATTGCTCTGCTTTCTTGTGCATTCCTTATAAACAGAATCTCTAGAATTTCTGAAATATCAACTAACATTTTGGCTGTAATGCACAGGTTTGCAAAGAAGATTGTGTGCAGCCACATGCATAATGTGCCTGAATTCTCACAAAATCCTCCTGGAGGGAGGGAGATGGATTTTCTTGTTCTTATTAGATCATAAAGAGGGTAGGATTTGCCCAATGGTTTCTGAAAACACTGATAATTGGGATCTAACAATATCAGAATGCTAAAAAATCAAGTTGTTGGAACAGTAAGATAATATGAATTGTGAATAGTCTTAATTCTACTGGACATTTAGTAATGTTTCAGCTTTGTCTACCAGTTGTTGAGTGATCATATTTTTTATTTTAGATGAGAGACGTAATTGGGGCAGCTACGGCCAATCAGAACAACTTCCGTGTCTGCATGGATCAGACCATTGATTACATGAACACTTATTCCATTCCTAAGAGCGTACAGAATCGGGTTCGAACTTGGTATGAATACACATGGGCTTCTCAAAGAATGCTAGGTAAGCATGGAGAACCACTCATAAAATCCTTATAACCAGGCCACATAACGAAGTTCTCTAAGGTAGAAGCAGAGTCTGAATTTGAACAAAAGATTAGAAAACAACTAAACCATCTTTAAAGCATTCATTTCAAACATTGGATTTGTTTTTCTTAAATACTTGGTCATATGTTACTAGTGTAAGCCATGCGGTTTCTGAAAAACAAAGGCTAAATTTTATTCAGTGCCGACCAGGTGTAGTATTAACAGTTTGTGTTGTAATCTTTAGACACACACAAAATTAGGTATCATCAACCCCTTTTAGGAGACAAGAAACTGAAAGATCCTAAAAGAAAAAAAAAAAGATGACAAGGGCACAGAGCTAGTAATTGGTCTAAATGGAAGTCGGACTTCCATCTGCTCTAACCTGGTATTTTCTGTGGTATTACCTTCTTCCCTGAAGCTCAGACCTTAGAAAGCCATCTCTCAGCTTACTATGTTGTAGAGCTCACAGCCCTTCTAAGAGATCCTTTTTAATTCTTGGTGTCTACCGTAAGTACTATAATATGGCAATTTAAAATGTTTTTTTCTTGAGCTGAAGAGATAGTGCAGCAGAGAGTGAGCTCGCCTAGCACCCAGCTCACCTGACTTCCATTTTCAGAACCCCATCAAATCCTCAGAGCCCACGAAAAGCGATCCCTAACCACAGAGCTAGAAGTAAGCCCTGAGAACCACCTGGGCCCCAAAACAAAAAATCTTGCGAAAGGATGCAAAGATGTTAAAGACAGAATGCAAGTGAAAGCAATCATACTCATCTTACAGTTTATTCCTCATTATATTAAAATAGAAATTAGACTCAAAGTCAAAAAAGAAAAAAACTAAAGCTCCAGAGTACAAATTGAAATATCACCCACAAATCTTATTATCTAATTCTTACTCTAGAGAACCTGGCAGGCTACCAAAAGTATCCTGCCCACACGGGCACAGAGTCCGGCAAACTCTCTGTGGCATATTCAATATGCCAAAAACCAGTGACAATGATGGGTCTCATTCTCCTGACCCTGAAAGAGCCTCGAATATGGCACTTTTTTAAATCTCAGAGCTAGGATGAAGGAGACGTTACTGGGGCCTGCTCGAGGCAATCGATGAACAACAGGATGACAGTGATACAGTGATACCACAAATCACAAAGATTCATATGAGCAGATTAAAAAGAACCACTTGTCCCTGATAGAAAACCCCTTTTTTTCCTTCCATATCCTCAGTTCGAATCCAGGGACCAGGGTGCTCCAGTTAACCAACTCCACATTGGGGTAAGAAGAGGCAGATGGGTGGTAACAGAGGCAAAAGATGGGAACCCCTGGCATACTGGTGGTATAGAATTATGGTATAACTATCTATACATCTGAAGCACAGAACCAGCAAATTTGAAAGCATCAGATCCAAATTTTAAAATGCGTCTGTGAAAGAGGTTCGCTGTGGGGGTGGGTGAGAAACTGGGGGCTTTGAGGGAAGAAGTTGGCGATGAAGATGGGATGGCTGTTAGAAATTCTATACATGAAGCTCGGCTATGAATAGTTCTGTAAATCAAGGTACCTCGAGAAAAAATAAAATTAAACTAAAATTAAAATAAAGGAAAAACCTCCCTGGGGCCAGAGGGATAGTACAGCCGGTAGGGTGTTTGCCTTGCACCCGGCTGACTTGGGTTCGGAATCTCATTCATATGGTCCCCAAGGACCACCAGAAGTGAGTCCTGAGGGCAGATCAGGAGTAAGCCCGGAGCATCACCCAGTGTGGACCAAAAACAAAACAAAACAACAACAAAAAATCCTTTATTTACCATTCAGCCATTTCTTCAAACTCCGGCCTGATGTTTAGAAACTTTCCCTACATCCAGGGACACTGGGGGTGGGAATTGTTCCCTGGTGAAGGGACCGGTGTTAGAACATTGTATGACTGAAACCAGTTCATGAACAACTTTGTAACTGTGTTTATCAAGGTCACTCCAATTAAAAAAAATAATAAAGAGGGAAATAAACTTTCCCTTCAAGTGAAGGACCAAAACAAAACCTCAGTCCCTTCAGCCTGTACAGCTAGCCCTGAGGACATTTCAAGACTCTAGGAAGAACTTCGTGGGGAGACCGCCTTCCAAACTCTTCTAGACACTCCTTTGATTAATGGTTTAGGGAACATTAAAGGCAAATAGCCCCAGAAAATAGGGCTTATGTCCTCAGGGTTTTTCATATTTAGAACATTGGAATCAAATCAAGAATATGACAGAAAATTTTTGTCTTTTCTAAATGAATATTAAAAATAGAAAAATAATCTCAGAAACTCATAGCATACAAAATATTAAAAACTGGAAGCTCTGTTTACAGAATGTTTTATCATTTTGAAAGCCTATCATGTAATTCACACATAGAAATATCCTTCACTGAGCTAATAAGCAAACAACAATTTGAGTTTATTCTGTGCATTTTTTTCTACTGTTCTTTCTCAACTGAACCACCTACAAAAGATGTACAATTAAACAAGTCTTTTTCTGCCCTGCTTAGCTTCACTCTTTGATTCTCTCTGCAGAGTAACAATTAGACACTTACTCTTTGGTTATCACAAGGGCCAAGTCAGATAATGGTAAGACAGAGCTCTATAAACTTTCACATGCCACATAGTATTCATTATTACATACAAATTCTATAATTATAGAGCTCGATTTTGTAGACTCAAAAGACAAAATTATTTTCTTACACCTGTTTTTATCTACTAGCATTTGTCCTATGATCATTAAACTTTGTACCTAAAGTTTCAGCCAATACAGTGTTCTGTAATTATTCACTATGTTCTCTGTAGTTTAAATCTTTTTTTCTCATGAAAATAACAATTTTATTGTAAAATATTATAATAGCTATAAGTAAATCTAGTAGAAGTTATAAAAATATAATTTAATGCATTTTATTTATAAAATAAGTTAACACTTTTTTCTATTAATGTTTTCTTATATATCAATGATTTTCTTACTAATTACTCTGCTTTGTGCATTGATGTGTTTACTTTTATGAAGATGAATCTGATCTGCTTGACAACTTGCCAACTACAATGCAGTTATCCCTCGCCATTGATATGAACTTCAACATCATCAGCAAAGTCGATTTGTTCAAGGCAAGTGCTTCCACAGTGAAAAGAAAGCTAGTATGGCAATTCATCTAAAAATCTAAGCTGTTGCTTTATGTAGCATTTGTAAATTGTTTTTGGCTTTTGTTTTAACAAAGTAAAAATGATCTAGAGAATTTATGTAGAATTAAGGAGCCAAATGAGTTATAGTTTTCTCTTCAGCAGATGACTTATTCTGTGGAATTCTCTCTGTCCTAATTGGTGTCAAAGAAGAAGGGTTATTTAGGGCCTTCTTGCATTAATTTAAATATAATTAAACTCTCCATCTCCGTGCCTTTACTAGCATTGCACAGCATTTCCCATTTATGAATTGCCTTGGCATTGCTTAACAAATCAGGGTTTAGATTAACACCAAATTGACTTGACAATCAGAATTTTGCCTAATCATACTCCTATTACACGTGTGATAGACTTTTTAGATGGCAAAATTCAAATTATGGGACTTTTTTTTACAAAAAAAATCACAGCAATGAATTTTTTATTCATTGGATTTTTTCCCATTTTACTGCCTTCTTTTTGCATTACACTGCATGTATTTCTCACATAGTAATTAATACTTTGTGTGGCATTCACTGATTTAGCTACTTAGTCATTCAACATATATTTACACATGGAGATTTATTCCATTCCTACTATGTTTCAGGCACTACTTTTGTCCCTGTGAGCAAATAAAAACAAATAAAAACTATTTGAGCATATGAATACATTCCAACAAGGAAAATTAAAAAAATATGCAACACATATGGAGGTGATAGTGACATAAACAAAATCAAACAGGTTAAGAAGGATTTTTGCAGAGCTTGTCCTGAGAGACATCTGTAATGAGGTGCAGTCAAACACTGGAGCAGAGGATGGCAGGATGGAAGGAAGGAAGTCTTGCAGCTATTGGGAGAGGGAAGAAAAGAAGGAAAAAGAGGGAGATTTACAAGACAGAAGAGAAGAACCCTTAATCCGTGACTGGAGCTAAGGCAGAGTAATGAAAAATATGAGTAGTTAAAAGAACCGAAGAACAGGAGCTCAGGGCAGTGACCAAGTTTCCCAAGGGCAGTGAGAGTTAATGGAAAACATTGGAGTTTTGATTGGTCTCTATGAGATAAGACTTCTGAAGATTTTGAGTAGAAGTCATCAAATTGATATTAGTTTGAAAAATATCATTCTTCCTGCTGTGCAAATAGTCCATAGTAAGGGAGTGTAGATGGCAAGAAGGCCAAATAGGAGCTTTGATAACCATCTACAGAATAGACAGAGGACACTAAGCCCAGAGAAATAGAATTTGTTGAATAAGAGGCCAAATATTGGATAGACTCAAAGAAAGATGGGGACAAAGCAACAGCAGGTAGGGTGCTGACCCTGCATGCAGCGCACCCTGGTTCAAACCCCAGCATCGCCCAAGCACCGCCCAGAGTTATTCATAAGTGCAGAGCCAGGTGTAACCCCTGAGCATCACTGGATATGACCCAAAAATAATCCATAAAAAGAGCCCACAGATTTGTTTTCTTGTTGGATTATTAAAAGGAGAAAAGGTGGGGAAAGAGATCAAGTGTGAAAGTCAACGTCATTATGAACAGGAAGAACTGAGATGTCATTTGTGAAATAGGACACAGGACACAAGAGAAAGTATAGGATGATGGGGGATAAAAATATCTTGTCAGCAAGACGAGAAAGAAAACGCCATATAGTAGAATGGTCCGTCAGAGTTTCTCTCAATGTTAGGTGATCTTATGATTCCACAGTACTTCAATTAGAGTGAGGTCAGTATTCTAGGACTCCTTTCTTGATACATATCTTGTTCTAAGTGAAGATTCTGATGAAGAAATAAACTGATTTTCAAATTGGTATATGACACAAACCAATAAAGAATAGCTTAAAACAGAAGGCGAGAATTTATAGTGGTGAATGGTACTAGAGTTTTTGGTGATAGGTGTGCGGTGTGGTTATATACATGTATCAAAATGTGAAGCTATACTACTGACTGATTTAGACTTACAAAACCATGGCAAATCAATTTTAGAAAAGAAAAATGCGTTAGACTACCAAATTCAACTGAATACTTATAATTGAACCATAAAAGGATACCGTCCTACTTTTTATGCACTACAATTTACAATACTGGTAATAACAAAAGACATTTTTATTTTGCTGGGGGGTGGGCACACACCCAGTAGTGCTCAGGAGTTATTCTTGGTTCTGCACTCAGGAATCATTCCTGCAAGCTCAGGTTCCTATGGGACGCTAGGGATAGAAGCCAGGTCAGCTGTGCACAAGGCAAGCACCTTTCCCACTATACTATCTCACCAGATCCAAACATTTTAAGCATCCAATCCATCAACAGAGTGTCAGCATCCCTCTACCAATGTCTCGAGGTCCTCAGCCACTCACCTTCCCATCCTCCCCTCTCAGTTAATTCATATCTTCAGGCCAAATCTCTGGGTCTGTGGCTACTTCCCATTTCTGTGGTAGTGATGGTGGTGGGTGGGTGGGGGTCAGGGGGATCATTAAAGAGCAAAGTTATGCATACAAAATCTGTCACATGAACAAGAAATGAGTTAGAGTCATTCTCAGCATTAGATTACCCATGACAATCTTATATCAAAGTCGAGCCAGTATTTTTAGACCAGTGCCTCTTAGGATATTTAAGGGACCATACATGAATATCACATAAACAGGGGACTGGCAAGTCAACTGGTGGAGATGGGGTATGAGGGAGGTGGGGGGAGAAACACCCAGGAAGGAAACAAAGTAGGAATAGGGTCACAGTTGGTTGGAGAAAGGTTGAGATACTGGTCTAGATTATACTGTCAGTCAAACTAACATTGCAGTGAAACCCCATTTTTAAACTACAGAAACCTTTACTAAAGTCTCAGTAGGGAATCAGGCATGATACATACAGTCTTCATGCCCAGCCCAGAGGACAAAACAGTGTCAGGTGGGGAATGACAGCCTTGGCTAAATGCCTGACTGAAGATGGATGCCCAGAGGAGTGGAAAGGCAAAGAGAAGAGTGAGGACGATGCCCTGTAGGTAGCAGATCCTGGCCAAGATTGGAAAGCAGTTCCCATTCTAATGGAATTTCCCCAGAGTGTAAGCTCTAGGTAAATAGAAACATCAAGGAATATATACAATATATAAATCTTGTGATCATCTCTCAGGAGAATTAGGATGATTCCTGCAAAGCCGACAGATTGGTTTAAAGAATTAGTTTCCATACTGCAGACTGTAGTCCACTGAGGCAACATACAATTAAATTAAGTGGGTCACAACCAGCATATAAAACAGGAAAAATTATCCAAATACCTCACTCATAAAGATAGATACATTACTATATTTTTGTGTCTGTTATTTAAATACACACATACATGTTTTTGTTTGTACTAGGTATTGTGCAAATGTCTGATGCTAAAAAATGTGATGACTGAGTAAAATTATTTGAAACATATGTCGTTATAAAACTTAAAATCTTAGCACAATGGATTATAAATGACAACAGACTCTTTTAAAGAAAAAGTGCTTTGCAAGGTGGCCTCCACCTCAGAGCTTATAAAACAGCCAGGTATGAGCCGACGTTGATGGGGCAACTGCAGTATCATGGAAAGAGGGACAATACCGGCATGTCCTTCACACCCTACCGAGGTCATGAGTTGCCCCCAACGAGCAACTCTTCAGCATGGCCATGGCTCCAGAGGCAAAAGGACTTAATCCAGAACCTGGCAGCTTGCGGCAGAAAAATGAATGGATCATGCATTAAACTACAGCTCCATGCCTCCCTGTGAGGGAAAGGATGTTGTTCCCTTCTACCTTTTTCCCGCCCGGCAGCAAGGCGGCCGCCGCCTCAGAGCTTATTGAAAAGCCAGGTATCAGCCAGTGTTGACAAGGCAACTGCAGTCTCATGGGAAGGGGGGGCGGTACCGGCATGTCCTTCACGCCCTACCAAGGTCATGAGTTGCCCACGAGTGACTCTCCGGCACGGTCATGGCTCCAGAGGCAAAAGGACTTAATCCAGAGCCTGGCAGCTTGCGGCAGAAAAGTGAAATGACCATGCATTAAACTAGGGCTCCATGCCTCCCCAGGAGGGAACAGGTGTTGTTCCCTTCCGCCTTTTTCCCGCCTGGCAGTAAGGTGGCCGCAGCCTCAGAGATTATTGAAAAGCCAGGTATGAGCCAGCGTTGATGGGGCAACTGCAGACTCATGCGAAGGGGGGCAGTACTGGCTCGTCCTTCACGCCCTACCAAGTTCACAAGTTGCCCCCCACGAGCGGCTCTCTGGCACAGCCATAACACCAGATGCACAGAAATCAATCTCGTAATTATTTGGCTCTTTGCAGAAATCCAAAATTGCAAGGCTGCTATTGCAGCCATGCAAGATTATATGATTCTCAAAAGCAGCTATAGAAAACAAAGTATTTCACAATGCCTTTTTAGCAATGCTGATTGTTGAGGGGTAAATTCTAAACAATAATGGTGCATCTTTTGTCAAAATAATAAATTTAATCGATGTAGTGAAGAGTTAAGTGGAAATCATATGCCTCACAGGCATTGGGAGGGTTGGGAGAGGAGTATATTGGGGTTTGTGGTGGTGAAAAATGAGTCCTGGTGAAGGGAGAGGTGTTTGATCATTGCATGACCAAGACTTAAACCTGAAAGCTTAGTAACTTTTCCCACAGTGATTCAGTAAATAAATATAAGAAGAAAAATAAATAAATAAAATTATGAAAAAAAAAGTAATGTGGAGTTCATGCCCAATTCAATCAGCTAATCAGTGGCTGAATAAATAGCAGTACTCCTACAAAAAAAGGTGCTTTAAATTATGTTAATAACTATGGTATCTTTAATTTAGAAAATCTTGAATTTATCTATAATTTAGAAATTTATTACTTGTAAATCTTAGGGTTTTTTCTTTTGTTTCTACTTACAGTTTTGGATACTTGTAAAATTAGCAAAATCTGATTGAGAAAATGTTAAATCTTCACATCTTGCTAATATAATTAAACTA